TCCTTCCCTTTTCCCCTTTCATTCTCTTCCCTATTCATTTAGTCACTGGCCAGGTTAAACCACAACACTAGGACACAACCTGCTCTGCAAACTTGCATGCTATTCTCCTAAGTCCACAGGAAGTAGAGACCATGAAGAGGGTGGCAGGTCAACTTCACAGAGCTACCAAAAGCTGTCGGTTTGTTTAGAATGAGATTTAGAATAAGTTCCTCCTCCTCACCTGAAACAGTAGCGCTCCAGAAAAATCCCTAGAGTCAGGTCATTTTTCCCATAGAACTCCATGGTCACAATCCTAAACCAGAGAAAGAAAAGCTTTAGAGAGTGGATGCTACCACTGTTAGCTGTGCAATGGCGGCTTTCAGGCACACAGACCTGCACCCACTGTTGGCTTGTTTTCAGCCCTGTATACCTTCGAAGGCTTTTTTTCCTCTTGACTACCCTTCCCTAGATCCCTGCTGTCAAGTTTGCTAATAATGAGATCAGAATCCTACTAGAACAACTTTAAACTTGACATTTAAAAGCCAAATACAATTCAACTGCACTTTCAAAGATCACATTCAGGAATATCTAGGCACAGAAATCTAGACAGCTTGAAGCCTCAAACACTAACATCTAAACAGTTACAAAAAGGGTTCATCTAGAAGATGAAAAAAGCCTTAAGAAAACCTTATTCTTCTAGAAGGTTTAATAGCAACTTCTGTTTTCTCAGAACCTGAGGTGACCAAACCACTTAAAATGTGTTAGTATCAGTTTAAGTGTCACAATTCAGACATTTTTAATATCAGTAATTTACATCCTTTCATTGTTGGTTTTTAGTGAGCTTATCACCATTTTGGTTCATTCCTAAGCTTTTATAGGAACTCTAGACCTTTCCCTGTTAAGAGTCATGTCTGTATTTTCACCTGAGCTAGACAACGGAACAGCAAGACCTCTCCTTTTCAGTACAGCTACAAGTGTGTTGTAAGTTGCACTCAATTAACAAATTACAGCCCCCTAAGCTGGAAACACAGTTAAAACTCTTAACGTCAGTCACTGTGAGAAACACAGCAATATATTCAAATGCCACTCTTATATAACACAAACTAGAAGTATTCTGAGATTCTCTCAAGACTTATTTCTGGGCTTGGACGTTCTTGCATGTTTACGTACACTAACTCTTCCCCACAAGACTGCACGCAGTGCCCTCCCCACTCATAGGTCACTCTGCAGTGAAAGGATCAACTAAAGCATTCTGTTTTAGGCTGGGCTTTCTCATTCATGCCTTGGGCATTAAAAAGGCTATTGGATACTGCTCTGAGTCCACCTGAGCAGGCAGGACAAAGTTCTTCTGGCAACAGTTCCTTTTACAGGATGGGCACAACCTACCACGGAGTCCTGAAAGAAATACCACTATGAGGCAAGCACTGACCTTGACTTAGGAACAAAGACAGCAACTATACAAGCTGTAGAGGACTAGTTTTCATACCAGGGGCTAACACAGGCACTTGGAGCATTGCTGGACTGAGCAGAAGAGCTACTGAAGAGAACACAGAGCCTCTGATGGTTTACTGGACTCAGGCAATCCACCTGGTAGAGAGAAAACAACTCATTTACTGGTTACAGACACCTCCTTCCACACACAACTCCTGATGACAAAATTTCGTTCTAATAGTTTTATTTACAGATGGATCTCTGCTTGCTTCCTTTGTACAGATGAACTTCACATTATCTCTGAGCTTCAGGTAGACTTGTACCATGTATAACTGCTAACTGTCATTTTTAGAACAGCATAACTAATACGTATAATGAAATCAATGCACACGTATGCATTTCTGTGGAAAGGAAGCGAAGGGAAACCGAAAACCACAAAAGCCCCAAGACAAACATCCAGAGTCTCCAAAGCATTGTACGGTTCAGGACACCTTGGAGTCAAAACTCTGCCAATATATTATACCTCAGTTACTCGTTCAGGCTATATAGAAAGACTTCCAACTTGCTGTCCTCTGTGGAGAGATTTACTATGCCGCTGCTGGAATGGAGCTGTTTCCCCTTCCACGCCCTATAGAACTATGAAGTTACCAAATACTTTTCTTTGATCACTGAATAAATTTAAAACAGCATCAACCAGTCTGACCTAGAGCAAGGGCTAGTCTTACAGTTTGTAAGATTATGGCCTGTGGAGCTACACTGATGTACATTTAAGCACCAATTAAAAAGTGACTTCTGCTCATGAACTTGGGGGCTGATTGGCTCAGGGACCAAAATATTTGATCATTTCAAGGTATCAGTTTTGCTCCTCTTGTTCATAGACTTTCTTCCTGAACAGCTTCCAGTTCAAGAAAGTCCCAAGATCTTTTTCCTCAGATACAAGTTAGTTGCTTTCATGGCAGTTTCCCAAAACTTCAAATATTCTGATTACAAGCACTGCCCAGCTTTGCAATTTCAAAGAAGATTCCCTGCCCATTATGAGATTTTCACATTTCTTCAGATAACCCAAACTTTTACAGTCAAATACATCAATGTATTACAGCCCACTGCTGTTTCCATGACATGAAGCCCTCTGAAGATGAAAACATTACTCTTTTACAAGCAGCAAGAAAGCTCACTTTCAGAAACTCCTTCAAGTTTGCTTCCCTTTCATGTACTCATTTTCAGAAATCAGTCATGTACAGCTGTGCTCAACAGGCAACCTAATACGCTGATTCTTGACTGACTTTGTGCATTTCTCAGAAAGCAGAGTCTCACAAGCTCTTCCCTTCTCAGGGAAATTTGGCAGTCAGTCTCTTGTTTTGCTTTCTTGCATCCACATAGTCCCAGGTTATATTGACTTGTTTAAGTGCCCAGAGCACAATCTAAAATGCAGTTTTGACTCAGTCAAAAAAAAAAAAAAAAAAAGAGAGACAACAACCAGCTCTAGTTTACCACTTAATATGAGACACTAATCTTCTGTACTACCCGGACAAACTGATGTAACACAGGTTTTCAGTAACATAGCTTTGAATCTTACCTTATGAGACCATGACGATTCACTCTGAGCCAGTCCCTTCTCATCCTCTTCAATTCTACACCCAGTTTTTCCAGCAGGGACACTAGACACATCCTTGCTGTGGGCAAAGGGATCTGTGCTCTTCTGTAGTATCCTCCCTCCTCTGGCCCGATAGTCTGCCAGCATTCTGGCTAAGCTCTGGCTATCACCTAGATGCTCTGCTATTCTAGTATTAACCAACTCATGAGAAGGTAAGATTTGGATAGTCTTGGTTTGGATACTCCCATTCATCCCTTGTAGTCCTGAGAGATCCCGCAATAATTGCCTCTTCCTTCTGCTCTCCAACTCCTTGTATTCCTTATTGAGGAGAGGAGACCAATAAACTTGCTCAGGGAAGTATTCCCGGGCAGGGCACCTCATGCCTTTTTCAGTCAAAAGAAATGGTTCCCGGAACATCATTACAGGAGAAATACAGAGAATGACATCTTTCAACTCCTGCTTAAACGCTGCAGAGTAAGTCTTCAGACGATCCTCAGAAGAAGTTACTTCTTCTGTGACATATAAACCAGTATCATCCTGGAGGGGGTCTCTGAAGACTCTCATCTGACTCTTGGACTCCTGCAGATCATCTGCCTGTTGAAGAGGCTCTAGTGTCTGGCTATCCAGAGTGACCAAGTGCTGGTCAATGCCATGGAGGGGCAGCAGGGATGTTTCAGGTATTGCAGGAGGTACAGAGTTGAACACTGGAAATGGTGACTCCATTTTTTGGTGCTCCTGCTGTTTTGAGGACGCCGCTTCCAGTTGACTGTTCTCTTGGTCACCTCTCTCAAACAAACCTCTTTGTTCAAGCAAGCTGACCTCATCAGAGGACACTGACTCAGAGATTACAGGCAGCTTTTCAGAGGACAGTTCAATGTCTCTGACTGCTGTGCTGAAATCCTCACCATTGAAGAGGTTCTGTTGTTCATCTTCATCTCCCGGCTCCTCGATAAGGGAGTGAAAGGAGGTGTTTTTGGTCAGACTAGGGGGCATAGCAAACTCATCCATAAGGAAAGAGATTTCCAGCTGGGAATGATAAGCCACGCAGATCATGAAGATCAAGATCTCCTTCACACGGGCCAGCTCATACTCTGCAGCACCACACAACTTGATAGTGCAACCCAGGTGCTGGGGACACCCTTCAAAGAACATCAGGGTTTTTGTCTGATCTAGAAAGAAGAAAAAAAAAAAAAAACAACACAGGAGTTCGGATGACAACTACAGTTAACTTATTCTTAGGCATCTCACACACTGAGGGGACTGTAACAGAGACTAAGAGTCAGTACATTTATAGCACAATCCAGCTGCATAAATTCACATCACTGTACTGAAACAACTTATTTTTGCAAGCAAAACAAGCATTTGCTATAAAACTTCTCCTGTTTCATAAAACAAGTAATCATAAAGTCAAAGCAAAGGCCACATGGAACACACTGGCCTAACAGAGTATTCCAAGATCACTGTAGACTAGGCAGTGGCGAAGCAAAAGAACCACTACCCTCTAAGGCACATTTGCTCATCCTTACAAGTCAAAAGCCTACAAGATTTTGAGTGCAATTTAAAGGCTGGAAGGGGGCATGGGAAAGTGGGAAAGATGCAAAGACTGCATCTCCACAAATATTTGTATCAACAGCATTTATGTGTGCCAGCATCATCGGTAATCTGTCAAGCAGCATTTCTTCCTTTTTTCTTTGCAGACTTCCATTGCCTAAAGGGTGTTACAGAGAAAAAGGAACCTGATTTCTCAAAGGTGCATAATGACTGGACATGGGGCAGTGTGCACAAACTGCAAAAAGGCAAATTTTGATTGGATATGTTAAGGTTGGACCAGATGATTTTCAGGGTCCCTTCCAAGCCAGGCTGTTCTATGATTCTCTGTTTCTATGTAGAAAAATTCTTTATGCTGAGGATGGTTTAGCAACTGAACAGGTGCCCAGACAGGCTATGAATCTGTTCGGCAATATTTTCAACAGTTGGCTGATCAAGCCCTGAGAAATCTGATCCTGTACTGAAACTAATTCTTCCTGTTTTGAACAGGAAGTTGGCACAAACTCCAGGGCGATGGGAAAAGAAAAATAGTTTAGAAGGAAGAAGTCAGCCTAACTAAAATCTAGTGTGTCTCATCTTAGTAAGATCATGTTTTTGTGTCCACAGCCAGTTCACTGTAGCAACAGAAGAAAAATTAGCAGGAAGGATAATACTTGATCACACAAGGCACCCAACAGTTCAGATCTAGTTAAGAGGAGCAAAGCATTTACCCTTTCACACACACAAGTTAAGACACATCAAGCTTTACTCACCATTGGGCAACTGAAAAACTTGCATATAAAATTTATGACAGGTTCCCAAACGTGGTTTGGTCAGCAGTTGATCCATTGACATCACTAAGTCTCCCTGGGTCATTCGACTCACCCTGTCTAACACTTGCTGTAAAAACGGAAAGAACAGTAAGAATCTACAGCTCAAAGAGGACACTAGTATCCTTAGCTTGCTCTTAAAAAAACAGGGGAAAAAAAATGCCAGCATGATCCAGGAAACTTCTCACTCAGACACAAACTCTGGGTTAAACCCGGTCACACAAACACACACCCACAACATACAATCATCTTAGAAAAGCAGTGGGGTAAATATTTCTGGTAAGTGTTAAGATTGTGCCTTTCCTTGGACATATCTAGCTCTGTTCAAGTGAAAAAAGCTCCAGGAGGTACAGCATGGTCAGCATAGTGCTGGCGATCAGGAGCTCAGCCAACTCCCAGAGCCACTCTCTGCTTGGCTGTCTGTACCCTGCCTCACAGAGACAGAAAGGCTACCTGGGAATTCCTGAGGGCCCTTGAAGGATTTGCTACAAAAGTCAGAGTTAACTGACCGTTAGCCAAGCTACAAGGACCTACCAAGCAAGGACACAGCACAGTAGCTGTGAAGAGCTGAGGAAGAGTTACTCTCTAGGGTTGCTTGTCCTGCTCTTCTTGGAAGAGAAGTATCATTAAAAAGGAACCCAGGTTTGGTTAGAGGAGAAAATAAGACAACTCTGTTTTCTCCAGGGAGCTTGCTATAAGGAGAAATTAGAGATTCATCACAAGGCCCAGTCTGATAGGAAATGCTCACCGGCTTGACATTGATGACCAGAGTGATACCATGCTCCAAAAGCATGTCCTGGGCAATTCGGGACACAGTCTTCTCAACAAGGACCAAATTAGGCCTGACATCAACTATTCTCTGTACGTAGTTCTTCAAGAACTCCCTTTCCTGCAAACAGGAACAAAGTATACCAGTTAACTACTGCAAGCCCATCTGAGGAAAAAAAAAAACACCCACTTAAATGCTTAATATTACTTTCTCATTTATATACTGACCTTTCCTATAAAACAAAGAAACCAGCTATTCAGAAAGTACCATCAGTTGCCCATTGTGCATATTTCCCCACTCCCACAGCACAACACCCAGTTTATCAGTAATTTGTTATATGCACTAATTGCACATGAGGATATAGTCCAATGACAGTCTGAAGTAAGAGACTAGCAGCAGAATCCAAAAATATATGCACCTTACATCCTTACATGGAAAAAGGCTTTATGTTCAAAATGTGCTAGAATTAGAGCATCCTAAACCAAAGCTGTTCGCAATATTATATTCTCCACCTTCAGATATATGCAAATGTTGAGTGCTGGCACACTTCCATTCACAAAGAGTATGCCAGTGCTCTATGCCTCTACAAGTCTGTACACAGAGCCTCAGTCCCTAAATCTGTACTTGGGGACAGTGCTTCTGGAGTGCGAATCCAAGTGCTGTGCACTGCAAAATTGTTCTTCTAACGATGCCCACCTTCTGGCTTCATCTCACTATCCCTCCCACACTTTTATCACCATGCACAGAAAAAGAAAGCAGGGCTGCAACTATCAGAACTGAAGGCCTACACTGCCAGAGAGACAATACAGCCTCCCAAGCCACGTACTCTCAATCATGTTATCGCAGCTCATGAGAGTCAAGTTTTAAAAGTTCTATGCTAGAGAAAAATACCTCAAAAGCAGCTTGCCAGCTCCTCAGACCACAAACATTCATGTTAGCATAGCAAAGAGTTTTTGCTAGAAGCTAACCTTTCCAACTGAACTAGTATTTCTGTAGTATTTTCTGTTCCATAGGACTTTAATGAGAATACACAAATAGTTATGGTCATGTTCTGAAGTAGGGACTGAAATAATCAAAGATCAATATTCAGAAAGTATAGCAGATACTTCTACCCCGTTCAGACAAAGGACAGGGCTCGGTTTAAGCTTTTACTAGAAAAAAAACACCTCACTAGGCAGAGTCAAGTTTTATTGCTAAAGCTTTCATACCTGTAATCCTGTCTATTAATCACCAAATAGAAATGGTCTCAAATGCATGCTAAGGAAATAGTCAAATATAGAAACAAGCACTGTGGCCCAAGCTCAGTGGGGCACCAAAACCCTTGTTAACAAGTATCCTGGCAAACACCTGAAGACCAATTCTCAGACAGGAATGCAGTGTGTTAAAGGAAAGGTCTATTCATGTCAGTTTTCATACTTAAGGCACCTCCCTCCTCAAAGGGGCTAGGTACCTGTTCCAAAGTGACATTTTGTAGTTCGTCACTTCATTAGGTTGGTTGCTGTCCTGTTTTTTCAAGTCTAACAAGAAATAACATGGGTGGAACCTAAACCTCACCTACACTAACTTTTCTAGTATTTCTTTGCGCACCTAAATCATATCTAGCTCTGACTTCTGAACCGTATGGTTCTTATATAGTGTATCATTAAAAACAAAACATGTTTCCCAAAACAGTGCATTTATTTGTGATAAGATGGCTCTCAGTACATGTAATGATGACAAAAACTCTCAGCACAAGACTACGAGTTTGTACTGTATTTACTGCAGCGGTTTTCTTAGCTAGCTGCTAGAAGAGGCAATTTTTCTCTTTCCTATGCAATCCCATTCACTCAACTCCACCTTACACATTGAAGAAAAAAAAAAAACCCACATGTGCACCAATCATCATTTTGTTTGAATCACTAGACATCAGACAATTTTAACCAAAACCAAAAGCATACTCTCACCTGAAGTACTATAGGGTCTATGCAGGTAAACTTTGTTTCTTCTCGATAGAGGTATTCAATAGAGCACTTCAGCAGAAGAATTTTGGGATTTTTTAAGCAAGAGTTCATCTAAGAAAGACACAAAAATAGTTAAAACAAAAATACAAACACCTGGGAGGAAAAAAAAAAGTACATAAGAAAAAAAGACAGACTTCCCGTGACTGTTCCCCAACTACACATTCTTCCTTCTTATGGAGATGTTACACCCAGTTGTTGGAATTTCACAGCTACTGTCCAGTAAAAGTACAATGCTACAGGTTTCTACAGTCACCTCCAAGAACCCCAAAGTCTTGATACACATTGGAGCCTCCATCCAGATTGCTTCTATCTTGATCTCCTGCCTTATTTAAAGGCTGACTTTACTGTATTGTCATAAATCAGAACCACAAACACCTTTTTCTGGCTAAAACTTGGGGTAATTATTAGATGCCTTCTGAGGTGGTAGGGCAGAAAGAATGTTTTTCTATACGTGCATAAGGAAAGCTTCTCTCCCTAGACTCTCTGGGATAAAAGAAAATAGCCTGGAAAAGAAATGCTTTAAAAGCCTTTCTTGTTTAGGGTCTCAAACTAGAGAAAGCTTGCAACCCTCCTGAGTGGTGAGAGAAGCTTCACAACAAAAACAAAGTCAGAGCACACTTGTTTCCTTCAGCATGCACTACACCCAGCATTTGATCAATCAAGCCTGCGTTACCTTTTTGTGTGCAACATTCTTAGTGCAAACAAATCCATTCACCACCATGGAGTCAAATTTCTTTCCGCCAGGGATCTAATAAAGCAAAGAATATTTTTAGAACTGTCATACGCTCCTAATACTTCTAATGCAGTAAACCTAATACATAGAATACCTATTGTAGCTGGTATGGAAGCTTCAGCTACACCCTCAAATAACAGATGAAAGATCAGATACAGTTATGTTGGACACACAGCTCTTCTCTTTAAAGCCTGGCAAACCGAGGACAACATGAAAACATGTACTAAGTTCCAGGATCTCTACACCCCTCCCAACACATGCATACTTGTTAAACCTGGTACACTCTGGAAGATAATAAAGGAACCTAACTTCAACAGGCCATGGGGAGCATACATCTTTGCATGTGCTGCTTCCACTAACAACAAACAAGTCATAAGGAAAGGAATCATAAGAGAAGAGAGAAGGGAGGAAAAAAAAAAAAGAGAGAGAAAACCAAAACAAACCTCTACCTATTATTTGAACACATCAGACACTTAACTGGCATGCCTACAGTCACAACCAATCACAGGAGTAATGAACAATACGAAACAGGTTTACTGAATAACATCTTTCGGAGGTCATTCTGTTATCAGCCTGTGAAAATGGCAGACAGCTACAAACAGCTTACACCTCTGAACACCTGCTCTTTGAACTGGAGTTTCAAGAGAGGCAGCAGCAACTGATGCTGTCTGAAGAGATGTCACAGAGCTACCACCAGAACCATAAGGCTCTCCTCATATCTGACACGGCTTCCAACAAAAGAAGCCTCCTGAGGCAAATTTTGCTGAAGAAAAATAAGCCCGAGCCTTTGATCCTCAGTCACACTAGCTCCTTGGATGTTAGTTTCACATCAGCCTCTCACAAGAAACCCTGCATGCCACAACTCCAGCCTTACAGTTTGACAACGTCAACACTTGGCCATCTGGCAGAACTGGATGCTCCATCCCATAACAATTAAGTTTTCCTCTTGAAGAAAGTCATACTTGGCACAGGAGTTCAGTCCTCCATAATGGATAGTTACAAGACAACAGATTGCTACACAGAGTCCTGTAAGCTACTTAGCCAGCATTCAGTACATCTCCAATCCAAGTACAAAACAAGCAGAAACCAAAAAAGGAAGAAAGTCATTACAGAGGTGTTGCTCTCTGCTACCTTCTGCAGCCTACAGCCTGAAAGAAAAGGTCAGCTCCAGGGCACTAAAGCACTTTTCACAGGATGCAACTTTCTTCTGTGCAACTTCTTCTAGAACCTTACCTTATCCAAAGGCCATGTTGGCCAATTACACCACTGAACATGCTGGGGGCAGTGGGAAGAGGACTCTTCTCTTCAAACAATGGGTGCCATCCTTTTGTTTCCCTACATCCACTTTGAAACTTACTTTTTTGATGTGGACAAACTGGCGGATATCCATGTCATCATCTCTGTTCTTGACATCAGGCCGCACAGTTTGAACTACCTGGCAGACCACAGGTACAATGATATCCCTCCAGGACAGTGACAGGGACTCATTGTACAGAAGCTGCTGAAGCAGTGCCATCATGTGGTTGTGATTAGCAGACCTGTAAAAAAGGCAAAACAAATAGACTTCTCATGAGAAAAAAAAATACAGAGCAGTGATTAGCTCAAGCCACATTTCAGAAGTAAATTTCTTAACATTTACAGTGCAGGAAGTCCACTGAAGGAACAGCTGCCTAGAATGTTCTACAGTCAACTCTGGTCCTGTACTTCAATACATAAGAATCACAGGGAGAAAAGCAATCAAAATATACTGTAAAAGTGTTGTTTTCTTAATGCAAACTTGTTCCTTGTATTGTCCACTGCAGATCAAGTCCCACTGAAAGCTGGTGGAACAGTGGGGCTTCAGGAATTGTTACTCAAGATATGCAAATTCTTTTTTCTATGTGTTTCTTACAGCAGCCTTTCCATGGCTTGTTTCTCTCCATTCTCTTCTCTCAGCAGATCTAGATTGCTGTGGTGCCAGCCTAGGGGCGTGAAAAAGAGTTCTTTGGACTTCTCCTCCACCCTCCTGTTGAATAACGACTCTGAAAGAGACAAACCAACCTTGTAAATATAAGGTCACAGTTGAATGCCTGTATCTTTCTGAAAGTCTACTTTGAAAAGGAAAAAATTTACTAAGACATAAGTCTAAGCCTCTTGAAATACTGAGTTTGAGCTAGGCATTATAGTAACATGATGCAGCAGTACTGAGTATAAGTGGTGAGTGTACAAATGAAAAGTGAGCTACTAAAATTCTTGTAACATCAGTATAGAGCAGACTGTTTTGTCTTTTGGAACTGAATTGTTAGCAAGTTTGTTAAGACAAGAGAAAAATTTTATATCCTAGTTCTGCCTATCAGTAAGCAGCAAATTCCAAATACTGTGTATATTGGTAATTATAACGCCTTATAGACTTAGAACATTGGTCAAAGGCACTAATTTGATCCACAAAAAGCTGCTGCTTTGGAAACATCTACATATAAGTGACATTCAAAGATCTAGTTATTTCATTCAGGCTGTAGCATAAGTATCAAAAATAGCTTGGTAAAGGCCTTGTTTAGCACATCTCCCAAATGTATTTTAAAGAAATCCTATGCTACCAATTCATATGTCAGACTTCTGAACCTTTATTTGACTTGCAGCCCTGATCCCACACACCATCTCACTGATGCTCAGGTGCAGAGGGAGCTACCTGCAGGCTGGTTTATCTAGCTTATGTCCCAGTATTTAATACTACAGAATTCTCAAGGATCTTCTGTCAAGAAAGTGGTATACGCTTTTCAAAAGATCTCAGCATGTCTTCTCACCTCCATCCACCTAAACATCATATACACAGGTATCTCTCCACTATGATAAACAGGATGCCAATGAAGGCTGTATCCACTGAGTACAATTTTTTAAATCCTAAATATCAGCATGAACTATAGCCATTTCTGGTTATGGAAACAGAAAGCATGTTTCAGTAGTATAAGACAGTCCTCACTTGTGGGTAGGGGGCGGGGCCTGCCACTTTCAATCACTACATTGTGCAGTAACTCCTTAGAACTGTTCTCTGTTTTGCAGTACCAAGATTAGAAGTTATTTCAGCACAGTTTTCTGTGCTTTGAAAGAGTTAATAGGTTATTTCCTGCACAGGTATTATGATATTTTAGAGGGAAGTTATAAACTTCCCTTTTCTCATAATGTCTGACTATATTCTAAGTCATTTATGCTAGCAGTGAATAAATTTTCATCAGCAAGTCTGTAAGTCTTCAGAGTTCAAACTTAAAACTCCTCAGAGTGCATGGCTCAACTGCAAAATCCTTATACAACAATAATCTGTGCAGGACTACTGAAAAAAAGACTCTCTAAAAACAATTCTTCTTCCAGATGGTCCATACCCAAAATTAGCTGTGTAGAAGATTAACAGAAGTTACATTGTTTTTTCTCCTTTCCTTTCTCCCGCAAAAACTCAGTTAAAAACTAAGCATTAGTTTAATCAGAGACTTTATTTTTCTAGCTGCACAGACATTAAGGTTTCCCTCTTATTTCCTCCTCTTATAATCTCAGCAAAATCAATAACATTAACTGGGAGAAAAAAGCCCACAAGTGCACTCAGCCGTGATATTGGAAGGCACATGGGTTTTAAAACTCACAACTACATCTAATGGCTTTTCATTTCAGAAGTAGTAGTGGTGGTGGTGATGACATGAAACCCAGAAAGATTTAAGAGATGAAGCTTTAAGCTGCTCTGTAGAAGCAGTACAATTAATCATATCACATCTTCATTTGCTTGCACAGAAAATGAAAATCGGTGTCTGTTACATAAGTTTGTGGGTGGGGAAGTTGTGAACAGACTTGCTGCTTACATTTATTTAAAAATAAAAAAAAAATAAAAGCTTTTCTTTGAGCGCTTTTGAATTAAGAAATCTGAGAAATGAAAGAAATTTCAGCTTGAAAGTGCATTCAAAAAAGTTGGAGTACAGTTTATATATTAGTTTTGCCACAAATAAGTTCAGATTTACTGTCAAGCAAATATTGCTAGTGTCGATGCCCTGTTAAAGGAGTACTGAGGAGTTTTCATCATTATATTAAAACTCACAACGGCAACATTTGAAGTTTCTCCTTACCTTTAATAAAAGCATCACTTATAGAGAACATCTGCTGCCCTCCGTTTTCAGGATTCAAGTACTCTGAAAGAAGAGAGAAGAGGGAGATAGGCGGAGACAAGAAAAACGACAGGTTACGCTGGTGCGCCCATATAATTACAATGTACACGCCCACACCAGAAGCAGCAGCATTACTCATCTAAGTGTTTAGTCACCAATTTAGCAACAGCGTGATGAGTGGTCAAGACAAGAATATCCTCTCATTCTTGTTCTATCAAAAAGTTCTTAAGATCACAGGAAAATAGTACTTGTAACTGTGAAGAAACAAAACAAAGTAGACACGAACAAACACTGAACTAGGAGTTAAGAGTTTGCTTTTCCAATTGACCCACACCACACTTTTCTGGATCTGAATACAAATGCGTTAAACTGAGCAGACACCATGGGAATGTCCAGAAAGGGAACAGCCTCCTCACTCTTGTCTAAAAATGCAGCTTCAGAAGATATTCTGCTCTCACACTCCAATGGAGTATCTCAGATTGAGGGAGAGACCAGCCATAAAATTTATCTTACATGATGAAGGAAATAAAAGACAGCCTGCCTTTCAAGAGCTAGAAGTCTAAAGCCTAAAACAGCTTAAAGTCTTTTGAGGAATCCATAATGACAGTTGGACTCCCAGCAACAAAAGAAAGCAAGAGTTACATATCACTTTACATATGGGAAATAGGATGAAGACCAATCTACTACACCTGTTTAGCTTGCTAGATCTTGATCTTTCATGCAGGCTGGCTGGCTACAAAAACATGTTCTCTCCAGAGGCCATTAGCTTGTTGGGTCCTTAGCTAGTTCCTTGCTTCTACAAAAAGGGATTGTACAATGGGAAAACAAGAGCAATAGCCCAACTTCTCATAGAACATGATGATTCAAAGTCTAAAGCTAATCCTTTACCACTTTTCCTAAGAATGGTCCAGACCTACTGCCACAAACAGAACACAAAGCCAGGCAGCTTTCAGACACCAACAGACACCAACAAAAAGTTGACAGGACACAAGCAATCACAAGTCTCTGACCAGCAGCACTCAAGAGATCCCTTACATGACATAAGTTTAATAATCTGAGCTTGTCTGTAGCCACTCAGTTTGCAAACAAATACTCAATAGATGATCAACATACCAGAGAAGTTGCAAGCTTCCCTTGTAGCTTGATGGTTACTTGCAGATTCCTTTCATCTCTTGCTTACATGAAGAGTTTAGCATTACAAGCAACCTACTCCTTGATAAAAGCTGACTCACCTCCAGCGTTCATTTATCCACAGCCTCACAGACCACCTAAAGAAAGTCATGTCATGCTGTACCTACACATGAGCATGTATACTAGCACCTCCATCCCTCTCCACCTTGCAACAGCTCCAGGGCAGCAGCTCTTACTGTGAACACACTGAAATTAGGTCTGACACATATCCCTGACTGACATGGCCAAGGCAGGAGTTAACTCCAGCTAAAACTTAGCCTTAGTTATGCTCTGGACACAGACACAGGTGGCACCCCTAAACCAGGAACACTTCTCTTCAATACAGCTTCACCTCCTATAACTTTGCTTCCAATTGTGATCCAGGGGAAGACAAGATAGAATATCATAACTCTTCCTAGACTGGACAGATAACGCACTCATAGGTGTGAGTTTGAGACAGTGAGAGAGGCTAACACACACATTTCTTACCTCTCATCATCCTTACATGCATCATGCTCCAAAGAACATTGGAGGAAAAGTTTCTGATATTGGTAACTGTATCTCTTTAAAAACAGTAACTAAAACCCACATTTAAAACAAGTCACTTAATCTCTTCCCTCAATTTAAATGCAGAAAGCAATCTTACTTTGCTTCCCATTTTGATATACACCATAAAGTACCATTGTCTTTAGGCAGATGATACTACAAATGAGTCACTGTACTCACTCACAAGATACTACAAGCCAGTTAACTTGGAGTCATTAGAATTCCATGGACGCACACCAGCCATTAGTCAGCCTATAACATCACAAGAAGTCCTGCCATTAGACTCAGACTATATACGAACCACTCTGTTTTAAAATACAGCTGGTACATCACAGGCCCTTGCTTCAAAGCAGCTGACCTCTGTGACTGGTGGAAATTGCATATTCCTTAATCATTTGGAGAAACCCACTAACCACTTAAATCAAAGTTGAACTGCACTGTTAGCACTGATGTTTTATCCTGTCAGTCCTCCCCCAATGACTGTAATTTACACAGTTGTGAGGAAATTGAGTTACTAGCCTCAAAAGGTGCGTGTGATCTTAAGTTTTACTTCATTGTTCCAAAGAAAATTAAGTCACCCAGCCTAAGGACAAAAGACAATTCCATTGAAATCAAGCAAAATACACGTGTCCATAAGGGTCACAGGGGTCATACTGACCCGTGACAGCAGCAAACACACCATGTCACTGATAGACTACAGTACTCTCTTCTTAAAATAACCACACCCCATTTTACACAGAAGCTTAACTATCCAGTCTTGGTTGCCTAATCATCGTGATGTCCTGTAACATCCTGGATGGCATCTTCTGTTGAATACAGCCCATGTAAATCAGGAACACAAGGTGAAAGTCTTTGCACTCCAACTTTAATTTCCAGAACAAAGTTTGAGAAGTCATCCATTTCACTACCCTAGGCACTGCAGGGTTTTGCCTCACCTGATTTTTGAAGGCCTTGAATAACAAACATCTAAGTACCTACAAAATTTCAGTCTCCTTCTTGCCACAAGGTGTTTCTTGCTGTTCAGGATGTTGTTAATCATTTTAACTTGTTGCTCCCTGGTCAGGGACTTTCCTCTAGGGACTCTCATGCCAGGAATCCAAAAAAAAGATGTACAGCAAGTCCTCTGTATTTGCAGAGGATTCAGATTTTTCAAAAAACTGCAGAATAATACCTATCTCTCCACAGTGCGTTTTAATGACTCACACCTCCACCCTATCCCAGTTCTGGGCACATTACTGATACTCTCCCCTCAAGGGAAATACATTCTCTCAAAAGGAACTGTTCCCAGTTTTCTACTACAAATTACACTCCTACAGAATAATCTGGTTAAGACACTACATGTTTCAGGAACAGATAACGAACACCAGTCAGCAGAGATTCACCAAATACAGCAGAGTGCTGCCAACATATATAATTCAATGGGAAGTCTCTCTCCTTTCAGTCCCCTCACCACTTGCCTTTTCTGCTGATCTTCTCTGAGCTCTCCATCATCAAAACCTTTCTCACGAGAGCTTCAGTTATGGCTATGAGACGCCTTGATTTAGTCAACAGTTTCCGAGAGAGGTAGGCTCTCTTACGTTTCCCCTTCATCATGTACTGCTTTTTCTGTATGAGGAGATAAAGACTCAGCTATGTCTGAAACCAGGACTACCACTCTACAAGTCCTTTAACACTGGCCAGAGCCAAACTGACTACTGCCTGCTTTTCTGCCAACACACACTGATAAAGCTAAACCTGCTATAGCTGCAAATTTATAGGATACTGCAGCACACCTGGGCCTGTTTCAAGCTCACTTAATCTGGCACCTGTCCTTCCTAAAAGGAATTCATTGATGTATTCTCCCTCTCCACACCTTTCCTTCCCTGCAGATGTATTAGCTTTTCATTTGATTAGGGTATCAGCTGAGAACAAGTTGAAAGGAACCAATAACAAGGTGGTGTCAGTAGTGCTGACAACCAGTCCCTACTGTTGAATCATCTGACATGAACTTAAATTTTGAACCTGCTCAGCTCCTCTCTTTGAGGGGAAAATTAAGCAGTTAGATTTCCCTTCTTCTGGACGTATTTTTAGCAAACAATAAAAGGTGACTACAATACACACTGATAAATGCCCTCTCTAATTTGCCTCACTTTCTCCCATGTCTAACATACTTTGAATGTCAGCTGTGGCCAGTTCTACTTCCTCACTCTCTTCAGTGATCATTTCACAGCTTCACAAAACGCAATCTGTATGCAAGCATACAGTCTTGCATTCTGATCCACAACAACAGAGATCCATCAGACTTTATAGAAGGATGAATTCATTAGAGGTCGTCTAAATTATTTAACTGGATTATCTTTTGAAGTTGGAAATACTGAAGTGGTGGGGTGAAACAATAATTAAGAATAATTGTGTGGTGCCGTCGACATGCTGGAAGGGAGGGATGCCATCCAGAGGGACCTCGACAGGCTGGAGAGGTGGGCCCGTACCAACCTCATGAAGTTTAACCAGGCCAAGTGCAAGGTCCTATATCTGGGTCATGGCAACCCCAGGCACAAATACAGACTGGGCAGAGAAT